CAGGAGCCACTCCGTCACCCAACGGCTTCAGGGGAGCCGGAGTGACACAGGCCAGCCCCGGCGCTGGAGGAGGTGGCGTCCCTATCCCCCAGCGTGGTGCCCGGTGCCCCACGTGCCCCTTCCTCGCCGCACCGTCCCCCGACCTCGCCCTGCCCTGGCACAGGGGTGGCCAGGGCTTGGCCAGCTCGGGAGGGGATGGCTTGGTGACCGGTGTTCCCAAAAAGCTGAATCCCCTACGAAGGCATTAACTCTTCTGGTGCTAGAGGGAAGGACAAGGAGGTTCCTTCTGACCCTCACACATCTCCAAACCTTTACAACCTTCAGCCAGGGAAAAGGCCCAGGCCCAGGGCAGGGGCGGCAGCCCCTTCTGTGCACCAGGCCCTCCCTGGGATGGATCCTGACCTGTGCTGGCACACCAGGCCCTCCCCGGGATGGATCCTGACCTGTGCTGGCACACCAGGCCCTCCCCGGGATGGATCCTGACCTGTGCTGGCACACCAGGCCCTCCCCGGGATGGATCCTGACCTGTGCTGGCACACCAGGCCCTCCCCGGGATGGATCCTGACGCGCTGTGGCGCCGTCTCCTTTTCCCTGAGCTCTTGCTGGGCACGTGCCCAAGCGGCTCCATCCAGAGCTCTCTGGAAGCCACTGGGCCCTGGGGGTTTGCAGCCTTTCCCCCTCCCCGGGCACCATCCCGCCGCTCCCAGCCAGGGCAGGCGCCCGGGGATGGAGCGAGGGGCTTTGAGCTGGATCTGTGAGCAAACAGCCTGTGCTCCACACCCCAGGGTACCCCGGGCCTCACGCCCCATAACCTGGTGAGCCAAGAGGCATCCAAATCGCGATAGCAGCCATTGCGTCTGCCTGAATCCACCGCCTGCTTTACCAGGTGTGCCATTGCACCCCATCAGGCATCACCCAGCCCCGTCTGTGCCAACGCTGCCACTGTCCTGCATGACCTGGTGCGGGATGCCGCAGACCAGGTCCTGCCCCTTCTGCCTCCCTGCCCCGTGGTCGCAGCTGAGCCCATCACCCTCTGCCGCCACGTACCCCACCCCTCTCCATTTGCCCCGCTGGGCCCCCCACCATGCGCCCTTCCATGTACCTGGCACCTTCACCCCTCCTGTGCACCTCCTGCCTTAACCCCTCCTGCATACCTCCCACCTTCATGCCTCGAATCTGCCCCACCAGCCCCTGCACACCTCACCTGCGGCCAGCAGCATGTGCAGCCGCACGCACCCACCTATCACCCTGCACCCCAGCTCAGCACCCCTCCACCCCCCTCACCCTCCATTGCCCAGGCTCCAGCTCATTCACCCATGCTGGCGTTACTTGGCACCCTCCAGTCGCAAGGGCTTGCTGGCACGCTTCGGCACAGATGGGGATGTCCTGCACCAGAGACGTCCTGTGCCACCAGTGCGGTTGCGCCGCTCCTGCCAGCACAGCCACTGCTGCTGCTGCTCTCGCATCCCCTGCCCTCCGCCCCT